ACCTCGGAAGCCATGTGGGGAGCCAATCTAGTTACAAAGACGTTCTGGCTGGGACAACGAGGCCCTCAGGCTTGTCAGAGAACCAGATACAATCAGGAGCCTCTTGGAAGATTCTGCTTAACTCCAAGAAGGAGGGGAAGGGGTTGCCATGTTCTTGGACATGGATTGCTTCCCATACCTTGTTAGTTGGGAGGTACGCGGCTGTGCTGGGAGCTGTTGCAAACAGGAGTAAGGGATGGACCTGTGGAGAGTGACTAAGCCTTGAAGAGGAATTCATGCTTTTAACAGGTTCAGGGAAGAGAACTCACTAGCTGAAGGAGGTGCTTCAGGTCTGTTCCCAGCACTGAAGAGGCTGAGGTAGGAGTGTGGCCTTCCAGGCTGTGAGACAGAGAGATGGGGGTGGGAATCCCTTGGATGGCTCTCTATTTCTGTCTCGTGCTCACTTCTGTGTGTACTCGAACCTTGGTGATGCCATGTGCCAAAGACCTCGCCAGATCTTAAGAACTAGTACAAACAAAAAACCAAACCGAAACCAAACAAACACACACACACACACACACACACACACACACACACACACACACACAACCCTCTTGTCGTTATGAAGTACTCATCTTCAGATGTTTTCTCAGCTAATTTTCACCCTTGCTGTTTTTCAAAGTTTTCAAATACCATGATTTTTCTTCCCCCAAAATGCAAGCCTGCTGTGAGCCAGGCACTGGGCACCGTTACTCACCTGTGAGGACATGCTCCTTATGTCAATGAGGCAGAGTTATTTTCTCCTCACTTCCAACTGAAGCACCTAGAAAACCTAAGGAATGCCCCTGAGTCATAGGAGACACAGGTGCTGGCTGCAGACCTTAGCCAGCCCACGGACTGCACGCACCGATAGGAAGGCCTCTGTCCTAAATCTGAGCACTGTGGAAACTCTGGCCTGTTTCCACTCGCTCTAGATGAGAGTCCCCCAAGTGTACTCTCTCTGGTTCTCCAAAAATATGTTCTCCAACTGTCTGTAGACGGTCTGTGCTAGTGCTTCTCACGATGAGGTTGCAGTGGGTTTTATGGTAAAAGGCAACTGCAGCACAGGAAAGTAGCGTTCAGTAAATCCCACATTGCCCCCAATAGGGAGTCTCATCCAAACTGCTGAAAGCAAGTAAAATGGAATTTATGAGTCTCATTCCTGATATGGCTCATTCAGGGATCTTAAGGATTTGAGCATAGCCCATAATCATATGAATCATATTCTACTTGTTATAGCTAGAGAATCAGCTTGTTCTGTGAAAATGACTAAGAATGACTTTAGTCCCTTCTGGAAAAGAAAGGATGTTTCCCCTGAATGTTTAAAAATTATTTTCCATTTTTGTATTTTGTGTTAGTCCATTTCCTAGTACTGTAGCATAATACCCGAGGCTGGGTAACTTGCACAAAAATGATGCTTGTTTAGTTCAGGATTTTGGAGGTGAGCTCTTTTGAGCTGGTCTCTGGTGGCCCCCTTGGGTTTAGTAGATGATGTGAGATGCTATCATTATGGGGTAAAAGGAGAAGAGAGATCACACAGGGAAATAGAAGCCAGAGAGTGTGTCAGGAGCAATCCTGCTTTTTTTTTTTTTCAGAACAACTTGGTCTTGGGAAACTAACTCAGGACCCTACCAGAAGTGAATTAATCCCTTCTGCAGACGATGCCCCAATGAATGACCTGATAGCTGCCAAGAAAACCCATCACCAACACTAATAACTATTCAGTTCCTCTTAAAACTAACCTTCATAGCTGAAAATGAAGGTTTCATGAAAAGCTTCTTGGTATTTTAAAGCAAGAAAACAAGGTTTTAATTTTAAAACATCTTGGTATTCTTATCTTACTTTCTCCGTTCACTCTTTGATGTCCTTTAATTCACCAGAACCTTCTTTTTAATTCTTCATCAGTTAAATACATGTATATAACGTATTTTGGTCATTTTCACCCCCAACTCCCCTTCTTACCTTTTCCCCGCTGCCTCTGAACCTCTTCTTCATTCCTTATGTACCTTTTGTTCTGTTGTGTGACCCACTGAGTTTAATTGGGATTACTTGCATGAATACGGGCATGTGGGGTTGTTTTCTGGAAAATGGCTACTGGCCAATGCCCACCCCAGGAACCATCACCTTCATTTTGGCACAGGCCATTAATATGTGGTTGGTTCACTGCAGCTGCAAACGGACCTTGTAATTAATGGCTGCCTAAGGCAATAGTGGTTTTGAATTTTGACTGGGGGACTTCAAGTTGGTAATGCTAGATAATATTCTAGATAGACTCCATCTGACTTTGAATATTTTATTTATGATAACTGTAAGAATGAACTGAAGTCAGCAGGTGTTATTTGAGCATCCTCTAATTGCTCATAATTATTCTGGTTCCTCAAGAAGTATCATTAATATAATTGTTATATATAATCATTAATCATTTATTCAAGTCTTGTATATTAAATAATACATACTATTATTATACACAATTATTGTATACTATTTATACTTTGTTAATAGAATAACTTGAAATTGATATATGGCCAGTAATTCTACTCCTAAGCATGTACCAAAGAGAATATGAGTGCAGACATCCATAAAATTATTTAAGAATGTAAATAGCTAATTTATTTGTGATAGCTCCAAGCTGGAAAATGCCAAGAATTCATCAACTAGAAACTGAATAGACAAATTGTGGTCTTGTTATATGGTGGAATATGGAACAGGAATTTAAAGTAGAATTTTCAAATCCACACAATTAAGTGGGTTTATCTTTGAAAACATTATGTTAAATGAAAGAAAGTAAATGTAAGAAGTAACATTTCAGTAATGTTTACATGAAGTTCAAGATCTGGTGAAACTAATCAATAAGCACAGAAGCCAAGGGTGGTCACCTCTAGAAATTGATTGTCAGAAAAAGGAGAGATTTTCCATACTGCTGGGATTATCCTCTATGTTGTTCTGACTGTTGATTAGACAATGGTATACAATACAAAAACCCACTGAATTGAATACTGGGATTCCTCTATTTTATCACGTGCCTACTTCAGATGACTAAAACTCATGTCTCTGAATTTCTTTGGAGGCTAGCCTTTTGCTTTCTCTACATCTGCCTTGACACACCCAAATCTGCCTATTTTCCCTGTATTTGAGACAAGAGGATTTACAATTCAGTGGAGTTTGGCCTGGTGGCAGGCATTTTAAGGTAAAACTATACACCTCAAACTAAACTTTCAGGTTTCAGTAACTACCACAAATGCAGCTAATCGTTCAATCAATGGAACAGTTCCGTTGGAGAAGGCTGTTTCTCCTCCATGGTGAGTGAAGGACCCAGGCTCTTTCCAGCTGTAGCTTATTGGTAATGTATAGGTGAGGGAAGATGAGGGGAGGGCTCCATCCATGTGGCTAAGGGAAATCCCTCATCCTTGCTGGTTAAAGACTCTCTGGTGCTGCCTTTTGCAGGAGGAGCATCCACTCCTTTGTAAGTAACCCCTCACCTATGCTTTGTCAGGAAGCTCAATAAACTCATCAATTCCCCAGAACTGATAGAATCATGCTTCTGTGTAGTCGAAAGTTTTTCTGTGTCCTGCCTGGCCCCGAGGTCCTGAAGATGCTTATAAAATAATCATTCAGAGGCTTAATATTATTTATAAACTATATGGCCATCATGCCTCTCACTAGCTAGCTCTTATAACTTAACTCAACCCATAACTATTAATCTATGTATCGCCAACGTATTTCGTGGCTTTACCTGAGTCCCATTACATGTTGCTCCTGTGGCAGCTGGCTCCACCTCTCCTGCCTCCGCCTTTCTTCTTCCTGTCTCTCTCCTTGGATTTCCAGCCGGCCTCTAAGCTGCCTTGCCATAGGCCAAAGCAGCTTATTTATTAACCAATGGGAGCAACATATATTCACAGCATACATAAAGACATTCCCCAGCCCTTCTGTTTGTTGTTGGGACCTTAGGAGGAGGGGTAGATGTTTACATTTCCTCCAAGGGAAGGAATTTTAGCTGCAGGGTCCAGTCCTTCTCAAGGGTCTGCCTCACAAGTATGTGATCTGTACAGCTGCACAGGCACAAAGTTTAGTGCTTCTCAACCTGTGGGTCGCAACCCCACAGGGGTTGCATATCAGATATTTACATTATGATTCATAACAGTAGCAAAATTAAAATTGTGAAGCAGCAACAAAATAATTTTATGGTTGGGGGTCAGCACAACATGAGGGTCGCAGCACTGGGAAGGCTGAGAACCCCGGGTAGAGGAACCTGGGGCTTTGGAGGCTGACACTTAGCTGACCGCTCTGCTGTCATCAAACTGACTCACTAATGATTTCATCTCTGAACTTGTGCTTTATAAGGGAAATCTGATAGGACAAGGGACCACGTGCTTGTACACTGAAGATGCAGAATGCAGGTCAACCACAAGTTTTCCCTGTTCCCTCGAATGTAAAATGAACATGGAATGCTGAGAACCCACAATGTGTGGACTTGAGCAAACTCCAGAGATGTACGAGGTAAGCATGCTCCATTGACAACTGAGGAAGCAGGACTTGACTAACCCAGAGGCCATGGTCTCCATTCAACCAGAACTGGCTTTGAACCTAGTTAACAGCAACTAAGAATTCCTTCGTGTACTTTCTTACTGGTGGTTACTTCCCAGAATTCATTAACTGATGACCTGAAAATGAAGACACAGAGGGAAGGGGCCTTTTCCGGTCTCTTTAACACAGCATTATGCCAAAGGTCCAGTGTTGGCATGAAAAAAGAACACATATCAAGAAGTGAAATAGAGGGTGCTTTGTTCTGTGTTTCCACTGTTCCAGTAATGACAAAACACTACACATATATGAGCTGTAAAATACGGACAGTGCAGTATTGTGTGAGCTAAAACCTCTTTGAACTACATTGCAAACTGACATTGCAAAACAGATAAATTGTGAAGTGTGTGATGATAATTTGAAACATTTGTTTTTCTTTACTTAGAATATTAAATAACACAAAAAATGCCATGACAGTTCCAAAGACAGAATGCAGAAAGACATAGCTTTTTATTTTGTACCACCTTGACAATTTTTCCTGGTTTCATTTTGTACTGGGACCAGCAGATAATGCATACATCTCTCTCAGACACTTCAGCAGCAGTTCCATTCAGCCTTCTGAGGCCAGTCTTACTGGACCTCTCCTCCACTGGGCTCTGTTGGCTTCCTTGCCTTTTCTCACCTGGCAGTTCATTCACTCAGTCCTCCACTTCTTTGAGTTCTGTGTCTATCAACCACAGGTGAAGATACTTGAAAAACCTGCATGTGTACTGAGCATGTGCAGACCTTCTTGTTAATCCTTTAATACAGTATAATACCTATTTGCTTAGCATTTTAATCCAGAGGTGAGCTACAGGTCAAAAAGAGTGTTGGTTATATGCAAACACTATACCATTTAACTCATGGAGTTTGGCAATCTGCAGATCCAATAGCTGTAGAGGGACTTTGGAATGGCATCCTGGGGATGCTTAAGGATGACTCTGTGTCTTCCTCAGGGGACTACCATCCATCAGTTTTGAAACTGTCACTTTCCCTAACGGGTCTGTCATGAAAGGCTTGGGGGTAGACTTTACAATTTTAGCCAGCTGGATGGGCCAGAATGCCTGGGCCATCTTCAGAAAAGTAACAGTGAACATAGAGATTTAGACTTTCTAGGGCCAGGTCATGAGGCAGAAGAGCAGGTTCCAGAGACAGCTGTTTTGTAAATGAAATGATTTAATGTTTCACCCCCTCAGAAAATCTGTCTACAACTTCATGAACCTCCAATAACTCCCTCTGTGGGAATTCTCTGAGGCTGCTCACACCCCACACCTCTAATTCCTCATGGCAATTCGTTGCCATGATCATCATCTTTTATATCTGGTCAACTCTAACTTGAGCTTTATTTCTCCAAGCAGATTCTGGTAACATCATAGACACAGCAGGCAGGAAAAAGTAAGACGTTCACATCCAGCTAAAAATGTAAGCTAAAAATGCAGGAATTACAAGAAAATATTTAAAAATCAACATGAACACAATAAACATTCACAAAGAACTGCATCTCACCATGTTAGACAAAGATGCATCTAAACTGCATGTTGGCTGCACCGAGGCCCAAGCCTACTCTGCTGGGCCCCATGTTTCATACTTTCTTGCCCAGTAGCTCTGCAGAAACGAACAGATAGATTGCTTGCTTGGCTGGAGTCATCAGTTTGAAATTCATAGAGTGGTCAGGATGGCTCGGGCGAGCTGTGATGATGGGCTCTGAAAATAGTGACTGTGCACCACAAATCAGCCAAGAAAGGACCCGGTCCCTGTGCTCCCAGGTTGGAGTATCTTCTGCCTTCCTGATGGTTCCCATGCCTGTGCTGTCCCGTTGTGTATCAGACTCTGATGGTAACCCCTCTTACCACCACCGGCTTGTTACAATACCTGTTCAAATGGAATCCTGCCAGATCTCATTGTTTGGGTGTCACAATTAATATAACACGGCTACAGCCAGTCTTGTGAATTGTTGTGACACGTGACTTGTTTAATACTGTAATTGACTCTTTATTTCAGATTTTTTCAGGCAAAATGAGATTAGAAGGACAAAGTCATCTGAACAAAGAAAAGGAACATGGTTTTTTTTGTTGTTGTTTTGGGGGTTTTTTTGGGGGAGGGGGTGGTGTTATATATAGTTCATTTTCAGTATGAGTCTGTCTTAAGAAAGAATTTAAAGAAAAAAGGTAGCTCCGAGTTATGCGTATGAAAATAAGTAGTAAAACATCCCGGGGCTCCTTAGGGCCTCTTGATTTCTCTGCCTACAATATCCTTATTTCAGAGCTGTTCACAAGGCCCCCTGGAAGACCTGGGCCCCACTGTAAACTGCCCTTGCTTACCTGCGCCTGGCTTTTCCTCGTGGCCACCAGGGGGCCGTCTGGGTGGAATTGGATTGGAGACGCTGCAGCTTTCCTTCAAACCAACCAAAACATCCCAAGGCAGCTTTGGACCAAAGCCCAGGAACACGCCTGCAAAAACAACCCTCACTCTAGAGTCCGCAAGTACTTGGTGCGGCTTCATTCGGGGCGAAGAATAAAACAGATTTCTTGCGAAGTATCCAAAGGGCAACCGAGTCTGTGCAGGCCGCTGGGAAAGGCAACGTGTTCATCCAAAAGCTGCGATCTGAAGCTTTTTCTCCTCAATCCCGAATTCTTTCTGCCCAGGCATTCACCTCAGTTGCTAGTGCAGTGGCCAGAGGTGCCGGCCTCTCAACCTTCGCCTTTCCTGTGGACGGCCAAGAGACGCTGCAACAAAACTCTGATCACCCGTGGGAAATCCAGAAAACTCTTTAAAGTAATCTGGACATTATTCCCTCCGTTCAGTTACAAGTCAGGCAGGCTCGGGGCACTGCGCTGCATTACATGAATATATTGAAGAAATGATTTCAAGGTATTTTTAACACTGCAAAAGAACATAATTGTATTCTGTCCTCAGAGTAGTTTTGTAGCAACTGTAACTTCCCACTGGCTGTGTGTTCTCTGAGTACTCGGCATTTTTCCAATAAAACCTACCTCCGAGGCGCAGTCGGAGACGGCCCGGGTCATCTGGAGCAGAACACCAGTCGCTCGCTGTGTTTTCTCCTAACCTGAGTGCTCGGCCTTCCCGGACTTGAGGTACGGACATTTCGGAGTTGTGTGCTTGCAAGAACAGAACCCTTTCAAGGGTAATAATTATTTTTGTCTTCCGGTTTTATTTGTATATTTCCAAGACGGAGGCAAAATGAGGCGTCTCTTTAAACTCTGCTTGTGGAACCAAACCGGCACACACTCGCAGGAAAGGATAATGGGGTGTGTGAGGCCCCCCCACCCCGTTTCGTTTAGGGCAAGCAAGGTATTGTCCAGCGGTGTGGGGACTGCATAGCGTCCAGAGCCCCGGAAGGATCTGAGCGCCCTGTGGTCTCATGCGCGCCACAAGTGGTTTGGGGGCGGAAGGAGGAGCGCGGCGACACCTGCCGCGCTGTCGGGCGAACCCAGAGGGTTGTGCTCCTGGAGGTCCTCTCTATCTCCTGTCATTCACACACACACACCCACACCCCCCGCACACTCCTGCCTCTTCAACTGCAGGAATGACCGCCCAACTCCAACCTCCGCGCGCCAGCAGTCGGGTGGGTGGGCGCGCGGCCACCAGACCCGCAGCTACGTGACCCCAGGGAGGGCGGCGCCCAAGGCACTGGCACCGCGGAGTCACAGAGGGGGACGTCCGCACCTAGGCGGCAGGTGCACAGGCGGCAGCGCGGGACACCGGAGTGACGGGCTGCTCGGGCGGTGATGAGGTGCGCGGTCGGGAGGCCATTTCGTCGCTGCGCTCCTGGCGGAGCTGGGATGGCCTGAGCCTGTCGCGGCTGCTGCCGCGCGAGTCAGACCGGCTGGAGGACTAGAGGGGACGAACGATCAGCGGTCCTCCAGCCGGCGTGGAGCTGGCGCCCCAGTCCCGAGTAAGGCTGTGCGCCTGGACCCCGGGAGGCGGGGCCTCGGGCCCCGCACCTCGCCGCCCTTGCAGATCGCAGCGAGAGGTTGCCAATGTCCTGGGACCCGCGCCGCGCCCCTCGGTGAGGGAGGATAGTTGACAGGTCGAGGGAGTCGAGCTCGCGGGGTGGCCCGCGCAGCACGGGACCCCGCGGCGGAGGGGGCGGAGCGGGGAGGAGACTGCGGCTCGGCGGAGCACGGCGCAGCCTCGGGCGGGCGGGCGGCCGGCGTGACGCGGCGGGATTAACTTTGCATGGCTAATTCGAGCACCACCGTGGAGGCCACTGGCTGTTCGGCCGCAGCTCGCCCGCACGCCGCCTCGGGGCGCCACCGCGAGGCTCCAGCGCACGGGTAACGTGGCGCGGCGGGGGCGCAGGGTGGGCGGGGGGCGACAAGTCCTGCGGGCCGGGCACGAGTGGCAGGCGCCGCGCGGTGTCCCTGCCGCGGGCCTCTGCGCCCCGGTTCCTCTCGGGCTCGGGCACCCGGGTGCAGGAAGCTGAAGCCCGAACGCAGCTGGGGACAGGCTCCTTGTGAAATGGAGTTTGGCATCCTGGGCGCCGAACCCAGTGGAAGTTTCCATGAGGAGGAAGTTGTAGGACACCGGGGTTCAGAAGAGGCTGACAGGCGCGGGGGTGGGCGGTTTAAAGGGACTGTGCGTCTCTTGTCCCCCTCTTTTTGCTCCTGCCCCGGAACTCGAGGGTTTGGAAAGGAGAAAGCTCCCGAATGTTGCATGCTCTGGCCAGTGCCTGGCGATTCTGCCTCTCACCGCCTCCGCGGGCTCGCTCCCTCCAGAGTCGCTCTTTTGCTTTGCTTCTCTTGACGCAGCATCTTTTGGGGTCGCTCGGGTCGGTAGTGATCCAGGTGGTGTCAGCTGTGCGCCCCCACGATCGGGGAAGGCGTCTTTGGAGAGTTTCTATTGCTTAGTGTCAGTTGTCATTTTGGAGGAAGATTTCCCGTGACCACAGTGGGATTATTATCGGAGCTAATTCTTAAAGCCTTCTGGTTTGTTTTTAAGAGGGAGCGGGCAGGGTGTGTATTCGTGGATTGTTTTAGTTTTTTAATTACAAGCTAAATGTATAATTTGCCCCAAATGGGAAAATTTTAAAGGGTCTATTAAGCATTCCTAAAGTGAGTCAAAGAAAGAAAGGAGCACCTGGGCAGGCAGGTTTGGTCTCCTATACTGCCTTTTCCACTCGCTGGAGAACTCAAAGGCTTGCTGAATCAGAAAATAACATTGAATAACGCCCCCCGCAATCCTCCCGGTTCGAGTGTGGTTGATCCTAGGTACTGGAGACCAGTGTTAAAGACCTGTTGTGAAACTGAACAAATTGAGCATTCCTCGCTCAATGCATTAATAGGAGAACTTGGCAATTTTGTTAAAAGATGAATGTACTAAGTACCATAGATCTATTGGGAAGTGTCTTTATATGACTTGGCTCTGGCTTAGCTTGTTAGTTGACACTGTAATGAAATGTTGCCGTGCTATATTGCAAAGGAATAAAAATTTCTTTTTGGTAAAAAATGTTCCATGATTCATTCTGAATATTCTGGATGACTGATCTCCCTAATTCACTTCAGCTTGTCAATTCTCGTTCTGAAAGAAGTCATAGGCTGGCAACCATTAATGAAAAAGGTGCGTGAGTAGGAAGCATTCGGAAGTGGCAGACTATAGGATGTTTTCGTGCTTTGGTTGACCCTAGCAGAAATTAAGTAAAAAGCACTTTGCTTGGGGCATTTTCATGTGAAGAGATTGGTGGAGAGCAATTCATTGTTCGCCCATGTTAAATAGATACTACTAGAATCCTATTTTTAAATGAATTCTAAAGGTTTATTGTATACTCAAAGTGGAAAATCTGCTTTATTTTGTGAGTAAAAGTAAGTGATACTGAACATAGCTCCATAATTGTTCTTGTTTTTTAAAATGAAACAGTTCTTGTCAGCATTATAATGCAAAAGCATAATCTCATTGACGTGGGGGTATCGCTATATAAAGTAACTGGCCTTAAGAGGGGAGTAAATACTCCAGTTCTCCCCTTCCAGCTTCTTTGTGGTCAGTTCTGCTGTAACAAGAGATGAGCTGCTGCCACTTCCCTGTGACCCAGCCCCTCTGGGAAAGGTGGTTTGTTAGAGAAAGCTGAGGCCCTCGCCATCCCTGCTCAGATGCTGGAAGGAAGCCTGGAGCCACCAGTGTGCTTCTGTGTTTTCTGTATAGTAAGCTCATCTTTTTCATGGACATCAGAGGAAAGGTGATGGGTCTCTTTAGCATCTTGCTCTCATGTTAAATTCCATGTTGCCTTCTTAGACAAGCCTTTCCTTGACCACTTGAGGGGAGTTAGTCCTTCGTTTTCTCTCCAAGGCCTCTCTGCTTTCTGTTCTCCCCGCCCCTAACCCCCAGTACTGGCTATGATCAGAACTGACCCTTTGAGCCCATACTTGTCGGTTGATTTCCTTTTTGAAACTGAATTCTGAATATTCTAGATGACAGTGTGGAGTCTAGGAGGGCAGAAGTGTTTATTGCTTCATTTGCTGTTGTTCTTCCTGCATCTGGAAGGATGCTTAGCCCACAGTAGGCACTAGGTAAATTTTAACTGAACAAATTAGAGGTTGTGCCCAAACATTGTCCTCCCCCAAATGCCTGACTGAATACTTTAACCATTGCCGTTTTGGACATGCCAAAACCTGGTGAAATGTGAACACACACACACACACACACACACACACACACACACACACACATACACACAACACACACACACAGACACACACACAACTAGGACTCAGTCTTCGCATGTTTCTCACTCTCTGGTATTCTCTGCTGTCTGGCAATAGCTGGTCTTTCTTTCTGTATAGTTAATTCTCCAAGCTCCTCCTACCAGCCTTGGCTATATAGAAACTCTCAACAGTGGTTTTGCCTTACATGTCCCTTGATCCCTTACAGTTCCCTTGATTCCTGGAGATACTGACCTTTAGTTCCTGAGTTTCCACAGAATCTTTCTCATTTCAGAAGCCTTGTCAAGACAGAGAGTGAAACTGTAGACCCTGGACATCACTGAGTGGACACTCAGGATTTTCACACTTGAGGCCTCGGGAAGGCCTCCAGCTTTGGCAGCTCAGAGTAGACCAAGGGCTTGCAGTGAGAGTGTTTAGGCTAAAAAAAAAAAATGGTGGTTGGGAAGGGGGAAATTAGGGTTACTGGTGTAACACAACCTAGAAAAGTTCTTGGTGATCGATTTAGAAATAACCTGCTCATTACTATGTGCTGTTAGCCAACCAGCCTTTGCCTGTGTCTCCTTTTTTCCCCTCCTCTTTCACAAGCATATTATGATCCAGGTGATTGTGAGGAATATTCAGTTATCTGAGTTTTCACATGACCAGAGTATGGTAAAGGCTTACCTAAAAATTATTACCAATGGCAATTCTTTCCAATTCAGACCACAGTGAAATTGTAGTTGATAATCATGGTAATTTATTTTGATAGAGAACCAAGTTTTAGAAATATGTCTGAGGAAATACGTAATAAAACCCTGAAAAGCAGGACTGAAGAGACAGCTGAGCAATTAAGAGTGCTTGATGATGTCACAGAATACCTGAGTTTAGTTCCCAGCACCATGTCAGGCAACTCATAACTTCCTGTAGTCCCATCTCTAGGGGATCTGCTTCCCTCTTCTGGACTCTGGGCATCTGTACTTAAATACTCCTAGCTTCACACATACACATGTATTGTAAAAAAGTAGTAAAAGTAATTCTAAAAAAATCCTACAAAATAATTAATGTTGGTTTTTTTTTGTTGTTTTTTTTTTTGTTGTTGTTTTTTTGTTTTTTTGGTTTTTTTTTGGTTTTTCGAAACAGGGTTTCTCTGTGTAGCTTTGTGCCTTTCCTGGAACTCACTTGGTAGCCCAGGCTGGCTAATGTTGGTATTGTTAATAGTGGGAGAGAAGAAATGATCAATGTTTTGGGGAATGAGGAAGGAAATTACACCAAAAACCAAAGGCTTACTGCTTTAGCATATTTAATTTAGTGCCAACTTCATGGTAGCCACTTTTACTTAAAAAGGGGTGGTGTCTGTCTGGAATTGACATTGAGAGAAGGGATCACATTCCATTTGCAGGATGTTCACCATACCTGACAACTATTACAAGGTCATATGAAACACCGTGGGCACTACTTCAACAGAGTCACATAAAATGAAGTAGAGTTCTTTATGTCGTCATGTCTTTAGCCAACTCTCAAGAGGAGAAAAATGCAGGGGCATAATGAAAAAAAGAATCCCAGTGTAAATTTCTCTGTGGAACTAAGCTGTTGTGGTCCAATGGTATGGGTTCTAGCATAGCCTCAATACTTCAATAGAGCTCAGAAAACTGGCAGAATGAACGGCTAACATGTTCACTAAGATAACTTCCTCAAAGATCCAGTGTGTCGGCCTGACTTTTGTCTGGAGCAGCTAGAGAGGACAGGAAAACTGGGTGTTTGAAAATGACCCTATAGCCACAGACTACCTGAGCAGGGACCCACTAATACTTTGTGCCTTGATCTCTGTAGCTCTGTCTTTCAGGGTTTTCTGTTTCTTTCTCCGTCTAAATTGTGGTGAGAGCCTGTGTGTGACTTTCCCCATCCCTGACACCAAGTGCCTAGAAAAGACCTGGGTACATGGACACTGGTGTAACTGTGGTTGGAAGACGAGGGGTCCGGACAGGGCAGTCATTCTCTTTCCCTTCCATGTCAGTATGAGCATGTCTTTCAACATGGCTTGGCCAAAAATGAATGTGTGGGTTACATCACGAGCCAAAGCATGTGACTGTTTCTGTGATTAGGACTTCAGCTTGTGTCAAAGCTGGATAAGCAGTTCATGGCAAGTTAGCCTCTTGTTTGAAAGCCATTTTCATGCCTTGATTTAGTTCCTCAATCTGCAGATAGTTTTTATATCTACCGTGTACCTGGCCCTGTTACATGCTTTGAAGTTCAGGGTGTAGCCAGTAACAGGTGGGACAATGTGCATAGATTAAGCCCAAGTATGCTACAGTGTGCTCCACTGATGAAACAGACATGCCTGTTGGAGTTTCTCCTAAGACATCTTGGCTGGGGT